GCCGGGGGTCGAGCCCCGCCAGGGGCGCCCTGGAGGGAAGGCCTGGCGCCCGCTGCTGAGAAGACCAAGCGAGGCCCCGCGCTGCTGCCCGCTGTGGAGCCGCGGTGATTGGCGAGGGCTGGGAGGGTTCAGGCTGTTGGAGCTGCCCAGCAGGCGTGACCCGCCTGCAGCCCACCTGCCGGCCAGTCGGACGTGGAGGACACGAGCGTGCGGTTCCTGAGACTCGGCATCAATGGCGGCGAGAACCTGGCCCGCAGTCATGGGAGACAAACCACACGGCGTGAAGTCACAACGGCTGCGCGGTCACCAAGGGCCCCGCGGGGCTCCCACCTGCAGGGGTCCGTCCAGACACGGGCCGTTTAAATGGGGGGACGGGGGCTGCTGCAGACACGCGCCTAGGAATACACTGGCTTAGTCTCATGGGAGCAAACTCATGGCCATCGAGTGGACAGCGACTCTGCAAGACGGGGCGGAGCTGCCCCTGGGGGTCTCCCAGCTGTCCGTCTTTGCAGGAGCGGACAGTCTGCTCTTTCTCTGCTGGTCTCAGGGATCTTGGGAAACAGGTCCAACCCAGACAGGGAGTTCTGGTAGCATCTGCTGAGCCCGGGAATTGGGAATTGGAAGCAGACAGAGGTCAGCTCGGAAGGTCAGGGTCACTGTTTGGGGTGGAGTCCAAGGAGGTCATGCGGCTCCATCGTCTGAAAGGACACAGGACACACATGCGGGCTTGTTGGTTCTGACGCACAGAGACCCTGCTGCTGACCACAGAAGGACCCTCTGCCCGGTCCTGCGCCGTCCGCACCATCGTCCCCATGGCTGTGCCCACGGCTGCAGCCACTGTCCATCTCCTCGTGGGCCTCCCTCTCGGTCGCTGCCCCTCCACCTTACCCAGCAGGACGTCCTGCTCCAGGGACTGGTCTCTCCTGACCACACGTCCACAGTCTGTGAGACCAAGTCTCACCGTAACCACTGGGCAAACTCAATGTCTTTCTTCCTCCTCCTCCTTGCTCTTGTAGTTTCCGTGATTTAATATTCACATAATGGGGCAGGCACATCATCTCCTGTCAACTTGAGTGCAGGGGTGGGGTCTGGCCTGTCAATCAGGCCGTAGCCAATGAGGCCTCTGTGTGGGCGTGGACTTCTTTCCCCTGAGGGTTCTGGGAACTCCTGTCCTCCTCCCCGGAGGCCGGACACACATTCACTCTCTGCAGGACATTGCAGCTGACGAGACACGTGGGTGGAGCCACGTGCAGACCACGCCAGTGCTGAGGTGCTTCCACTGGATCCACAAGACCTTCCACCCACTGGCCTGTGACCTTCCTGCATTCGGCGTCGTTGCATGTGCTGCGTGAGTCTGAAGAGGACTTTATACACTGGTCTCAGACACGTGGGCTAATATCGGCCTT